CGGACGAAAAATGGTATGCCTACGGAAAAGTAGGAAGTGCTTGGCCTCACTAATCCTACTTGCCAAAATTGACTATTATTTTTCAAGGGTGACACCAATGAAACACCACGTCCAGTTGTTCCCAGCAGCTTTGTCCTCCCCATGTTGGATGACTTTCCCCAAGAATTGGGAAAAGTGTGCCATACTAAAACAAAAGCAGCAGCAGTTTGTCAACGATTCTAGTGGCGACTCAACAGAGCACAAATGGACACTTTCTGCAATAGGTGTCCTACACGTACCACTTTCAAAGGATGCCGAGCAAATTGCGAGAGGATGCTAGTGTCCGACGTCTGCGATCTCCTCCTAATCTGCAATATGCCTACCACCCTGGCACACTCTCAGGGAAACAGGCAAATAGAACGTACCAATTGAACGATTGTCAGTTTGTGGGAAGCCTATGATCCGCATAATTGGGATGCACGACTCCCTTACGTGCACAGTGCATGCTTTAAAAGGCTACGAGTCTTCATTCCTGTTCGCCATTTTCGGTTACCCAAGGACTCTTACCTGATACTCCCTAGGCCTAACGACTACGCTTCGGACACTTGTGAAGTGGAGTCGCGGGAAACATAACAGCTCACCCATAACTTGACGATTACATACCTTAATGCATCCTATGAGCGAAAGGGGAGTTATTTTGATCAGCATATCACATGGCGACCTAGTCATACGTTTCAGACCTAAATCGCCAGTGGGGACAGCGTGTAAGTCCTACCACCAATGCGAAGGTCCGCTTGTTGTCGTTGACTTTCCCCCTTCTTCTGCCTGCATAATTCGTGACGCTCTTTATCCCACAGGCACAACACTTAGGGTACAATACGACAAGTTGAAACTTATAGAGGAGGGCTACCGATCGCTATGTGACTCCCCTGCATATTCCACCTCCAGATTCAGACTTGCAACCCTCCTGCCACTTGCGGATCTCCGATAACACAGAATTCGCCAACCCCTCCGGACAGTGTGTAGGAGGCCAAGCCGACTTTGTCATTTTAATATTCCATTCTGGTGTTTAGCTCTTGAATATATTTGATGAGTTTCTTCATTCTCAATTTCAGTAACCACATCCGAGGAGGATGTGGGAATCCACGAGAAGGACCCATGGCCTAAATGAACGACATATTAAATCGAGGAAGATTGAGCTACCTTATGATCATTAAAACTGACATAGTTGAAGTTTTCTACTGTACATTTGCATGTCAATAGGTGTCTTGTCTATGACTCATCCTCTTAATTACCTGTGTTTGCGTACTTGGCAACACGAATGATCCCTTAACGGAAATACAAGCATACGTCAAAAAAGGCCAACCACTTTACGGTTATGGCGAAGAACTCTACGCAGACTGCATACTGAAGTGGAAAGCAAGGTGAAAGCCCGATAGAGCTCGGATGTTACATGTTAATTTACTCGAATAGTTTTGTTTTCAAACGCTTGCAAATTTCAGCGAGAAATAAAATAAATATTAAAGACCTTTTTCAACCGTTAAGAAACCTCTTCACTCTTATATCTAACTAATCGTTTAATCCTGGCTTCGGCCTTACTTGCTTTTAGTAGGGTGAAATTCGTACAAATGCGATGAACAAGTCGCTGTCAGTTGTTCTCAGGGCACCGCAGTACCCTAAACCTGGGTTATCTTAGAACTCTCCATGGATCCGACAATAATTCTTCCTTTAGAAATTGTCCAAAAAGTGTTTCTTCTACTTTCGCCATGTAGAGACCTACCGGCGGCCAGATTAGTGTCAAAAAGATGGAAACATATTCTCGACAGTACGATTTTAAACATCATATTTTCAATTCTCAGGAGTAATCGAAATGCGCGTTTCTACCTCTATTTCGGCTTTAACCACTCGTTCTCCCTTACGTTGGTTCCAAGCCAGATCAATAGAGGCTCGGGACTCGTCCGTCCCAAACGCGTGTCCAACGTCGCGTTTCGGAGCGACTACGATTAGAAAGGGCCATAAACTGTATGTATTTGGTGGAGCCACTTATGAAATGACGGCATTTAATGATATGTGGGTTTATGATCTTACTTCATCCCACTGGAGTCGCATAACAAAGCGGGGTACGTGCTTGCCTTTGATAACAGATTTCGTGTTAAAATTGGTTATACTTTCTTGATCTAAGAACAGCGTTTAATACCGATCATTGTGCACCAGGTTAAATCACTTAAACTAAGTAATTTAATCGTCACGAGGGAAACTTCGCTGGGATTGAAAAACTTATAGTGGACTAAGGGGATCTTAATTTTATCCATCATGAGCGTATTTTCCAGTCGTTTAATCGTAACTTAACTACATTCAGTGCGACAGTCTAACTGCACACTGCAGATTTTTTTGCCAGCGTTCTACTTAACCTTGAATGTTTATCTAGGGTTCTTTTAGACCACATCCAATATGCTTTAAAACGTTGAAGCTTTTACTTCTTTCAGGGGAGTTGCCATCTCCTCGCGCCTTTGCTAAATGTGGATTCGTCGGCAATATCCTTTATATTTATGGTGGCTGTCAAACATATCGCTATGGACTGGATCAAGGAGTATGTTCTTCCTCATTATTGCTGGCCATTAATTTTGCTGGGCCGAATTATGCTTCTTTTTTTCATTGAGATCTTTATACTTTCTGTTTTCGCAGTTCGAAGCTAATCAATTTAATAATTGTCAACGGACAACTCGATCGTTGTTTAAGGGAATGCATTGCCAAGCGTTTTCCAGTTCATTGTTTTGCATTTTTATGTGACAAAAAGGTGCCTCCATAACATTTTAATAAATATCAAATCCAGGCAACTACAATTCATCTTTACCGAGGTTTCACGATCATTTAAATTTCACATTTATGTGTACCGGTTTCAGGTATAGAGTTTCGTCCACGTGAAACAGGGCCTTCGAAACTTTTACTGTGATTTTTTTGATACTCAACTTACCTTACTTACTTACTTACCTCAAACTTTGGCGCTTATGCAAGGGAGTTACAATGCAATTCCCCCGAAGTGCCTCGAAGAATAACACATTCTGTTTGCACGTATTTGTATAATGCAAATCGTATGATTTAAGTTTGTCCTGTCAACCGCGCACCTCAGACGCTTAGGGTTATTTTGGAATTAAAAAAAAGACTGGATGTATGCTTAAATCGCGTATACGTGAGCATAAGCTGGCTTTAAGACGGGAAACGTAACCACCCTTACCCATAAAAGGGGTCGCGAGTTTGACTTCACAGCCGCGAGGATAATCGTCCACGCCGGAAGAAAAACAAACCGAGAATTTATTGAAGTCTGGGCCTCCGATGAGAAGTCATTCAATCGATTTATTGATCTAGCGCTGGCATTCAGAGCTCTGGACTGATGTCACCGATGGTTGGTTGACCCCCGCCTCTTATAACTGTTGCTCGATTGTCGTCGCCTCTTTAATATCTGACGATGGACTCCAGTAAATGTTTATAGCTCAGATGAATAAAGCCATTATTCCGATGTGCCCTCTTCTCCGTTGCTCAGATTTGTCATTCTATTTAATTGCCCTGTTTTTGAGTTATGGAGAACACCCAGTCAGCTGTGTTTCCTAAATGTCGAAGTGTTTCACTGTTTTTAGAAATTTAACTTCAACTACGAGGGAACTACATGACATTGATTTATTTATTGTGACAAGAAGAAGATGCTGTTAGGTTCATTTTAACTTGTATTCATTTTATAATGTACCCCTAAGCGCACAGGCTTGTTTTTGTGTCGTTAGGCAAGTTAATGGCGTTTTATGTTGACCCTTGGCGTCTAATAGTCTACAACGAATCTTATTTTACTTTTGCCTGGTCCTAGCTTTATCTTATCGAGCTTTGTAATCCGCAGTTGCATATTGACTTATTTTCATAGAGGAGTTACTTTTGGTGGATGCTGACACTACTGCTATCTTTCATTCCTCCTGTATCTTAAGAAACCCTGGGTCAGAACGTATGATTCAGGACATTTGTACGCCCTGTGCCAATTAGCATCGTTCCTAACACTCAAAAGCCATGCAGTCCAGATGCCGACTTCTGCACTCAGAATGCAAAAATATATCATGCGTGTAGGTGCCCAAAAACGAATCCGGGAACCAGCGGGTTGAAGTTATTGGTACATAATTTTACGCGAATTCATCAAGTAACTTTGCATGTGAAATCGCTACCTTAAAGGAGCATTCCTCCTAACTGCCCTTATTTGTGTTGTATGGTGACTTTTTTAAAGTGCTGTCAACCCGGACCTATTTGATCAAGGTGCGTACAAGTAGAATGACGTAGTCGCCTTTAGAGGAAAACATAGTTGAAGAGATCTGCTATCTCGACCCGCTTTCACGAGGTTTTCTAGTCCACAAGGGACTGTTTGACAATCGTGACTTTTCCTTTTCCATTCTCATCATCGTTAGGGGTGAAGGATGATTTAACTTGTCCCGCCTCGTCGTCTGGCTCCCAGCTCCCCCTCACGTATTTTCCTACCAAACTTTGGTCATCCTTCAGGCTCGTATTGATTGGCTGGACGACATGTACTCATTCTGCACCGAGACTG